TCAATTAGTGCACTGCAACCTTTGTTCAAATTTCTAGCTTTGCGTACAATTATTATCCAAAATATTCGTTTGAATATTTTTCACCTCAAACTCGCTACGTGCATCGGTCAATTCAGAATAAAAAAAAAAAAAAGACGCGAAAGAAAGAGGAATAGAATATTCCCACACGATATTATCAAACGCGATCTCTAGCGGATCTCAGACGAGAGCAACGTCGCTGGATCATCGCCAAGAAAAAGAGGGTGACATGGCGTGGGTGAGTAGAGTGAGCTGACCCGAACTCTCGACTCTTCTCTTCTCCCATACTCTCCCGTAGTCCCTGCTGCCCCAGCTCCTCTGAAAATAACCACGTTGTCTCTGTCACTTTGACGTCATCGACCATGCGAATCAACCACTGTTCAATCGCTTTTTACTCGACAATTTTACAAAATAATATAACGAAAGCACAATTAACTTGGCGTAGCCTGCTCTGACTCCGCGACGTCCGCGATCCGTCTCTCTTGCCTTGCTGGAGAAAATGCTCGTATTTTTGTTATTTCAACATTGCATATTCAACGCGCATGTGGCGCTACTATTACTATTGGCGCGTTTTGCGGCCATCGGTGAAGTATGAAACAATTCTTTCGACGAGAAAGCACCGTCGTTGGTTCGGTGAGAGTCGAATTCATTGCCCGGAAAAGAGGATCATTCGATAAAATTTCAACGGGTCAGAATGCAACACGAACTGGTCGATCGAAGAATCTAGTTGGAACACCCACAAACCCACAAATATATATATAACCATATAACCATAACGCGACGACTGGAGAAAGAAACAGATGAAGGGACGAGATCGATCCCGTGGCGAGGTCAAACGTAGACACGGCGCAATTTTCCAACGTAATGCGTCTACACGACCGCGATCGCGATCGATAGCGATTTGCCAAGGCAAAGATGGCACGAGATGCACGTGACGGTACTTTCGCTGGATTAGAAGACACGGATCTCTCATCCGAAAGAGAGATAATTCCATACAAAATGCATTGATTTAACGTTTAACAAATATGAATCTGACAAACAAATATTCAAAAACGAGATGCTTTTCCGAAATAATTGAACATTAGGTACAATGAAATATTAGTACATATACACGGATTGTTCAAAAGAGAAAAACTGACTAACTCAATAGCTTGGTTGGTATTTAGCTGATCTTGTAAAATAACTTTACCGATTCGTACATTAACAATTATCACGTTTCTCGATGCTCAATTTAATTTTACTTGAAAATTAATCGACATGTGAAGGATTTTCTACGAAAGCTAGTACACGGCAGCATGAGCTTTCCAGAAAAAGGGACTCAAACTCAGTGACTCGGGGATATGGTCAGTTAAGTGCTTGCAGAAAGGATTGCCAATATACATGCCAATAAATAATTGCTTTACTAGCACGCGGTGATAGCACTCGAGTTCTGGCTAGTTAATTAATTAACAAGGCGGTTTGCCACGTATATCGCCAACGTCACTGAAACGTACCTTCATTACGCCAGCCAGTGGCATATCTGAACGTATGAATCTGGACCACGTACGAGCGGATAAAGTCGATTCACTGCCTGAAAAAGCTGATAAAAAACTGCGGTCTCTTATAAGCCGTTTGATATACATGCGAGACACGGGAAGTCTGACGACGACCGGCACAATCTACTGCCACGCTGAGTTTTAACTAGGAACGATGCGACGCGCGACCACTTTTCCTTTTCTTTTCTTTTCTTTATCCGATAAATCGGGCTGTTCCCTTTCCTTTTTCGTGCTACTTGGCCGGTCACCTTTTCATACAATCGCCAATCGAGTTTCTCCACGCTAATGTAATAACAAACAAAAACTTTATTTTACAACAACTAAACTCGCGTTTAAGAAAGCCATTTTCTTTCGGTCTTTCGATGACTTGGACGTGACTTTTATTTCGTTCCACACTATTTTAGAAATTCGGCACTATGAAAAGTCAGTGAAGCGTAACGAAACGAAAAGCTTATACATGCACGTAGCACGTAGTTGTACACAGCAGTACACTTGTTAATTATTGTCTCTTTGACAAGAGTTTCTAGACAGACGAACAGAAAGAGATTAACGCTGCTGCTGATCGTTGCCGATGCGATCGTTAAGCAAGACAAACCAGACGAACAAATAGGAAGACGAAACGCATCATTGCGCGTCGAATGAAGTTCCTAATTAGCATCGTTCGTCCAATATATCACCTCGAATTAAGCAACCATCGAGCGAGCGTTACGAACGAGTAACACGCGACTCGACCGATGTAACATTCAACGATCTAGCTATCACGCTATTCGCCATTGATTCTATTAATTAAACAAGATTCACTCTCGACTTCTCTAAGATCTGTATATGCAGGTATCTGTAGGCATACCAGCAACGCGCCGACAGCCGATCAACGTACGCGATACGACTGCTGTGTGTGCAAGTAACAAAGTACACACACACACACTGAAACAACCGATCTATTGGGCATTTCTCGAAATGGATCGCCAACGAAACTAGTATTTCGCCGAGCATTCCGCGACAAATTGCCGACAGGATTCGCGTACAGATAGCTGCCTAATTAATATATCAGGAGGGAGAAACGTTTCCCTTTCGTCCTCTCTGCGTTACGAGTTGCGTCCAATCGCAACTGAGAGCGTAACGACCTCGGCCGAAGCGAACATTTCAATTAATTAGATAGCAAACGTGACCACCCACCCGTGTATCTAGCGGCCATCTAAATCGACGCCTTAATACCACGTGTGCATGTAGTCTCTCGCGGAGAGACAGCTTTCAAATCAGAGGTCACGAAGGCAGAGAAGTTGCA